CTCGCTGAGGGTGTTGATAAGACGGAGGCGAGGTAGAAACTGCAGTCCACTTCTGATTGTGACTAAAACGACTCAAGATTGGGGTTCGACTCCCGATGGGAATGATGATGATACCTTGTGGGGGCAACTCTTGGTCATTCATCCCCTTCTCGACACCAGATTTGGCAATCCCAATGCGGTTTCTGTTGCTACGCGCCGCAAAGCCGGCGAGAATCGGCTTCTCGCGAGTTGGTGCGTGCCTCGTCGACGAAGCTTCGGGTCGGGGGCCGTTTCCACCCGATCGTCGACGACTTGTCGACGGAATGTGCAGCATGAAACTCCAAGTCTCGAGGCCAGCTGCGTCGGAGCAGCGCAGACCGCCAATTGCAGACGTCGTTCTACCGACCAACATGTTCGAGGCCGGTTTGGTGACAAGCTGAGACCATCCACCAAACCGAAGTTCACGCCATTCTCGTCGTCATGTCTTTGCCAGAAGTCCACTTGCTTCGGACGCTCATCGACACTTCGCTCCCTTTTTTTCGCCGACTGGACAACACACCCTCGAGATGATGTGCTTTCGAGCGATTGACTGAATATTTTTGTGTTTTTAGTAACTAATCACAGTGGGTTAGTTACCCGACGGATTGAGTTGTTCTCACATTCTGTGTCTACATCTTTCGCCGATTCCATCAGTCGTCGGTTTATTGCCTCACCTAAACTTTGTTGCCAGTTTCGCGGGTTGCCTGGTCCGGGGCAGATGGTGCTACGGATTTTATTAATTCTTCTTTGTAGGCTGGAGAAATAAAAAGTTGCATCCTGTTGCAACACCTCGGCCTGACTCAGCTCTGCTGACCCCGTGCAAGTGGAGCGAAGCGGTCGGAAAAGGTGTAAAAAGAGGTCATCAACTTGGCGTGCACATGCTTCGCCCCAGTTCAGGTTGCGCATGGTCCGGTCGCTCTGTCCTCCAGGCCCCACGAGGTCACCGGGTCTCGGCAGACGCCGGGACTCGGACCTTTGCCACTCTTCTGACCGTCGGTCTGGTCTCGCAATCCCATCCTCAGACCAGTTGAGAGGCCAGGTTGCCTTTTGAGCAATCTCTTGGTTCATAACGGTTTGGATCACTTTCATTTCGAGTGAAAATGTTTGGGCAAGAGCTTCTTCGCATCTCCTTCCTACAACCAGATTCAAGCTAACGAATCAAGTCAACGAGTTTTCTTGACTTATTAGTTCGAATCCGGTTTAAAGAATGATGATGATGATGATGATGATGATGATGATGATGATGATGATGATGATGATGATGGTCCGCGGATGTCGGCCATATGATGGAGAAAAGCCTAGCAGGTTTGAAGCAGAAGATTGCCTTGGAAACCGCGTCGACAAGAATGTTTCAATAAAGACAACCTGAAGCTGGTCAAGAGGAATCCACCGTCGTCTTCTGGTTGGATCGGCCTGAACATTTCTTCATCAAAACATGTCACTCGAGATGGAAATGAGATCATTATTTCATTTGGACCTGTACATTCAACCGATTGCGGGAATAAAGCACCGTAAGATATGCAAATAAAAGTCGGGTTTCATACTTGCTGAGCTCACTTTGATTTCGTATGAAAGTGCATGAAAAAGTGGATTGCAAGTCGATCTCACCAGAAGATCCGTTGTACTTGAGCCGTTTGGATTTTAGACGACGCTCAGGCTGACGCAGTCCACGACACCTCTTCCCTCGTTTCGGGTGAAAACGGCCTGACCTCTCATCCACCATTCGACGGACATCATCAGACTATGCGGACTATCGTCTTCTTTTGGTTGGCGACTCAACACTTTCTCTCTCTCTCTCGTTCAATCTATCAATCAAGCATAAGTAGTTGCTACTCAACTTTCTACAACCGTTCCTCACATTCGACGTATTTCTAATTCTATTAATTGCAATAGCCCCTCTTATCGAAGGTAGGAAGAACAAGATGGTGTGGCCTTTTGTGTGGTCGCAGTCTCCTTTCGTTGTATAGAAGTTGTTTGATCTTGTTTTTGCAACTCGGTCATATTGGTAGGAAGACTTAGAGGAAGGCACCTTGTCCGGAGTCCATTGTATGCATCATAAGTAGTTCCTAAGCAACTTTCTACCACCGTTCTTCATATTCAATAGCGTCTCTTATCTTTCTTTTAACCACAGACTTACCGTAATTGGCAAATTAACTAGTTTTATACCATTTTATATCATGTCCAGGTTATAGCATGTGTTCGGCCACTTCTGACCGTTGGACTCAGCTTCATTTACAAGCATTTTGTGTTCTCCCAATCTTTGTCGAATAGGTCGGCGTGTCTCACCAACATAACATCGACCACATGAGCAAACAATCTTGTAG